GACCGAATTATTTTGAAGCGATTCTCTTGACAGCCACATATGTCTGAAATCGGCCCGTTCACATGACATTTACATTTTATCGTAGTTTAATTATGACAATCACATTTTATCGATAGGTGTCGCCGTGTTTATCGAGAGGCGTCGCGATTGAGCCGATTTTACAAACGAATAAGAATTTTTTAAATCGGACCGGATTTGGGGTAGGGTGCGACGGCCTTTAATGATGGCCGTTTGATAAATCGCGCAGTGCGCATTCTTGTGAAGTACTGTGTTCGTACCATTTCTGAAATGCATTATGTCCACTGGTGAATTATGTTGTGCTCCTAATTGTGTAGCTATTCTAAAATGCATTCTGTCCACAGTCGGAATTTGCGTAATCAGAGCGACGTGAATTATGTGTGGCGTGTGCTCTTAAGTAATGACTAATGTATTCTGGTCATCGCCGGCGCCGTGCTGAAGCAATTTTGCATGAGTAAGTGCCAATTCCGCCATGTCTGCCATCTCAAAGCTAAAACGCCGTGCTACAGTACCGAAAACAAGCCGGTAGCCACTCACAGTCCGACAGCATCAGTAGAGTAAAAGACTATACGTAAAAGTGTGTGTGCGCTGCGCGCAGCAGCGTGCGTGCGTGCGTGCGTGCGTGCGTGCGTGTGCAAGCCAGCGAGGAACCTTGTATGCGCATAGCCTACTAACGGGTATGGCAATTAAACCAGCTCCGCCACTACCGCCGTCTCAGAGTCGCACTGCGTCATGCATACACTGTATTTCCTCACTTACCGGCGCAACAGCGCTTCCTGTTTACCGGTGTCCTGGCGTCTCCTTCAGTGACCGGGCAGCCGCCGACTGCGGCGGCGGTTTCCTGCCTTAATTTCCGACGATGTCGCTCATCACCACCCACCGCTCGACCACTCTACAGCTTTTTATCAGCTGAAGCCATAATTTTTTTTTTATTTATTTTTTTATTTAGTTAGGTTTAGTTATTTATGTCATTTATTTATTTATTTATTTATTTATATGTTTTAAAAATTTCGTTAAAATGTTACATGCACCTCGTTCCGTACTTCGCGTATGGGCAACGCGCAACCAGCAACTGTGCCTTGGTTCTCGCTGACATGCCGCGGGGAGAAGGCGAGAGAGAAAGCGAGGGTCCCGGGAGTTACGGTAGGGAGAAGAGAGGAGACAAAAGAGAGAGAGTTGAGGGGTGTGGGAGGACAAAAAAGTAGTGAGAGTAAGGAGAAGAGAGACAGGTGTGTGTAATGTTATGGTGAAAAAGTGGACATATTTCTTTTAACTTTTACTATTTACAGTGACGTAATCACTTTAATAACTTAAAAGGCTATATAGTCTGTGTGACAGGGACACGTGTATGGCTTCATTTACCTGCATGTGTAATGATGAGTTTCTTATGACCGTCTGTTATCCGTGATCGTGATAGTGGACTGCGTATAAGCTAAAGCTGGCAGCACACTTCACCATTTTCGTTGCTCGTACAGGCAATTTTCGTGGTCGCCACAAAAATGGCCAAGTGTGCGGGGGCCGGTAACGACCACTCACCACGGAAATTTAGTGGTGACCACGAGTTGCCGAGAATCAAACCTGTTTGATTTATCACCACGAAAATTGCTCGTGGTGGCAACTTATGGTGAAGTGTGCGCCAAGCCACCACGGCAATCGGCAACAAAATCACTCGCAGACCAATCAAAATTAGCGCTGCCGTCAAATGATTTAAAAATGGGCCAAATACAAATATACAAATATACAAATATATAAATATACAAATATACAAACATACAAAAATACAAATATACAAATATAGGGCCCCTAAGACTAAGTAACAGAAATGTTGATAAAATTTATATATTACAAATATACAAATATACAATTATACAAACATACAAAAATACAAATATACAAATATAGGGCCCCTAGGCCTAAGCAACAGAACTGTTGATAAAATTGATATATTTCCTTTATTTGATAACTGTATATGAATAGGTTAAAGCTACAACATCTGGCAACAAAAATTGCCGTCAACAGCACACGTCACCATTCAGTGGTGACGTGTGCTGTGACGCGGCAAAGGCCACAAAAATTGCCGACGATGAAAATTGCCTGTACGAGCAACGAAAATGGTGAAGTGTGCTGCATGCTTTAGAGATACCGCTGTTCATATAGTATAGAACTAGTTATCGCTAGACAGTCTGCAGCCGGATATACGCGCGAAGCGCGCAAACGCCGCGCAGCGGCGACACAATGACTTAATCGTTGCCCTTATTTAGAATACTTTCACGAAGCCCTTCTGGGTATAGGATAAAGCCGTATAATCGGTCAATTGAGCAGTTCTGGCCATTGCAGAAGCCTTTCGACTCTGCACGTAGTGCGAGAATAAATCCAATGGTCGTAATTCGTACTTTGTTTGGTTGGCGCGTTTGGTTTTTTTCTATAAAAGCGATTTCTAATTTATTTAATTTAACGCCCTGAAGTTATTCTCGTACATATCGCGGCCCATAGATCGCGCCACGAGGCTCTCTTCGAGGCATTTCGCACAGAAATTTCCTGAGACTGCCCCGCGGTCCAGAGTTTCACACGCTCCACTAACTATAACTTTAGTGTAGCGAAACAGACTTGCCCGAATTAACGTCCGTACCAGTCTAACTCGAATCGTGACGTCGCGTTTTCATTATCGTAGCCATGTTCCTTCTCCTTATGAACCTCTTGACCCCGCGCTCGCATCTCCTCTCTAGCCCGTTTTGCCGTTTTTGCATATTACCAGCCACTGGCAGCAAGATCAAGCCCGCACGTACAGCACACACTGATGATCAGTTTGTTTAGACTGAGCCACTAGCGGCACATTAAGACTGGTATTACATTCCACACCTACGGCTACGAATACTTGTATTACTACAAGTACATGTTACAATAATTACTACTAAGTACTACTACTAGTACTAGTAGTAGTAGTACTACTAAGTTACCAGCACTACTAGTACTAGTACTAGTAACTACCAGGACCGCAGGAGCTAATAGTAATAGTAATAATGACTAACTCTGTTACTAGTAATTAACTTACTAATAATGACGAACCCTAACCATAACCCTAACCTATTATATTGATATAATATTATATTTATATTGATGTAAATGACATTGGTTTTATTGCCCATGCCATACATTGGGGCCCATATAATATTGGGAGCCATGTTCTCTATCCTTGAACCACTAGTACTACTAGACTACTATACGACTAGCAAGAAACGCTCTTTGCTAGGGTTAGAATACCCCTAGGCTATACTAGACACAGGCACTTGAAGCGTTTCAATAAAATATAATGCTAACTAAATACGAAATCTATTTACTACGAAATTGTTAATGTTTCTAGTATAGGCCTACTCTCTTTCAAGAAGGTTGCGAGGTGCAAAGGCTATATATAGACTAGGACTCGCTCCCACCTCGATTAGCCATTGAGTGACTGAGCTAAGCCGAGAGGTGCGAGAGAGTGCCAGTCTATGGGCTATAGGCGGCGGGCAGGCGGCGCACTGCTTTCCAACTCCCGTACGAGCCTCGCCATTGGAACGTTGCAAAAACGTTGCAGCGTTGGGGCGCGAAGAGCGCCGGTAGGTGTTTCGTGATTCTGACAGCCGTTTCCATTACTGGGCAAGGTTCGCGAATGTCAGAATTTCGACAGTCTTTCTGTGATTTCGCGTCACACAGCTCGGTTACGAACAGATTACTCGGTTACAGTTTTTATAGCAAGTCAACACTGTTGACGTCCCAAATGTCTACCCTCTGTGTCCCCCACTAAAATTGCGGACTGTTCGCTGGCAGCTATGGATCCGTGCGCCCGCCAATTCATTCGGCGCACGGATCCATAGCTGCCAGCGCTGCATACTGTCGTAGGACGTTCCCGCGGTCGCGTGCGCCTTGCCGCGGAACTGCGCGAAAGATCTGCGCTTCAGCGCAATTGGGATCAACATCTCCTTTCGGCAACGCTTCTCTAGTATCCCGTCTCATCTGGTTACTCCATCAGTAAAAACGTCAATCATTCGTGCGTTATGATGAACATCGGAATTCAAAATAACGCCAAACGCAGTACGAGCTAACGCTTCTACCCTTTTAGCAAACGCTTGTACGGATTCATTAGATTTTTGCTGAGCGCGTTTAAATTTTTGTAGCGCCATGGGTATGGCATCTGTATAGCGCTGAGTCAATATTTTCAAAACATGGGCCCACGAAATAGAGGGATGAACAGAGATTATTTCAGCCAAATATTGCGCTGGCTCATTATTTAACAGGCGTAACGCTAACCTAACTCGTCGCTGTTCATGCTTTTCATTTAATATAATAAACTATTGCTCCAAATTCAGTAACCACTGATCAAATTCAATAACGCTATCATCTCCCCCGCTAAATACCTTATAATTCCCAAATAAAACGAGGAATTGCACTTCGCGTAATAAATGCTTCATACTTGTCTCTGGGAATGAAATTTCATCATCATCGCTAGACTAATCTATTGCCTTTTCAATATTAGAATCTGACAGGTGGGGATTTAACGAGTCTGTTCGTTTGTTTGCCATAATTATCCGTTAATGAAAACCCGCCAAAATGTTACACATACACTATAAAACCGCACACAACCAAAACGCACGTAAAATTGGGATAGAAATAATGCAGACTTACTTCTTAGCCTATAAATATATAACAATACACTCACAATTTCATGTTGCGACGATGGCAGTAGCCGTAGACAAAGACGCTTCAATTCTGATCAGTCAATTCGAAGTGTGCTCTTTCGTCAGGGTCGTATAGACGACGTACACTCGACACAAAGAAAACCATAAATTAGTACTTTTTCAATACACAAGACATACACAATAACTCATGCAACAACGATACTCTATACGCAGTGGTCACGGCGCCATTGTAATGATGAGTTTCTTATGACCGTCTGTTATCCGTGATCGTGATAGTGGACTGCGTATAAGCTTAGATATACCGCTGTTCATATAGTATATAAATTACCCAACAATGAAGTTCCGTATGTCAGGTACAACCATCTTTAATTGTAAGTAACTAGGCTAACGTATATGCTCTTGAGGCCGAGCAGAACGTGTACATACTTGTACGCGACAGAATATAACTTACATGTCAAACGGTGAGTTGAATACGCTGGTAGCAACAGTTAAAAGTGACACGTCTGTAGGTGGATATCAAATAGTAGAGATTGTAATTTCAAGATACAGTCGTTAAATACCCGCGTCGGTCCATTGTCTTAGCCCTGGTCACGCTGGTCACCTCGGCCGCTCTCATTGGTTGACCCGTTCTATTGGCCGTTGGTCACGCATTGACCACGGACCTATTATGCCTCTCTGCTTCTGTCCTGCACGTGCGTGGTTTAAGACAAAGACATGCTATTTGCTACTTTCAATTATTATTAAATTGTACCTCTTATATTTCTTATACTTCTTATATTTCTGTATTACACATGCGCTGATGTTTTATCAATCAGCGGCCAGGCACGAATGTAATAAAATACGTCCTATATTAGGCGCAATTTCAATTCAGACGCGGAACCAAAGCATTATCACGAGTTCATCTCACTGCGCTCTCCGATAATTCACTTGTATCGGGGATAAAAGTTGCGGAAGAAATCCTGCGCGATCTGCCTCGAATTACGTGCATGTTTGTATAGTTGCACGTGCGCATGCGCACACCGTGGGTAGCAGCATAAAGCGTGTCATCGCGTATTATCGCGTAGACGTGGGTGCGAAATGTCACGGTAGTTTCCCCCGCAGCAAACCCACGCTTTCCTCGATGGTTATTCGACAATCCGGCCGGATGTCGAAGCAGCCGGATTAAAACGGGGGTTTTTTCGCACGCGGATGCGTCGGCTTCTTCCGACGGCGGAAGACGCGTCGCGGACGACACGCGCGCCGTCAATCGACGACGGTTCTGTAATGAAGTGAGCCGCGTCGGCCCGAGACCTAACCTCCTCGGGTTGATTTACCTAATCACGGGGACAAAACGCGAGCCGAAATACCTAACGACGGCTTATTTCCTCGTTAGATCGAAGGCGGGCTTACGCGCGGCACCCTTCAAAACAGCAGCGGCGTTGTCATCGTTAGTTTTTTTTTCTTCCGTTTTTTTTTCAATTTTCAGTTTTTGTTTATCTTCATCTTTTTTTGGTATACAGGTAATTACACCTTGTTTTTGTGTTATTGTCATCGTCATTGTCATCGTTAGTTACTCTTTTTTTCCTTCTCAAATAATTGCGCCTACCTGCGCATGGACTCGGCAAACGGGCCGTAACCCGCATAGATCCGGGGTCGCGTGTTGGGGGCGCGGCGGTAGCGCCGAGATAGGAGGAGGTAATCGGAGCGCGAATGCCTCGTTTGTGCGACCCTCGGGCTGTAAGCAATGACTTAATTGAGTCTGTTAACCATATATGTAGGCTGTTAACGACGTACTCAGTCTGTTAACGATGTATTTGGGCTCTTAGCGCTGACTTGAGGCTGTTAACAATATATTTAGGCTGTTAACGGCACACTAAGTTTGTTAACGATGACTTGGAGCTGATCATGGTGATTTCAGACTGTTAACGATATATTCAAGCTGGTAACGACGTCCCAAGGCTGTTAACGGCGTCTTGTCTAAATCTGTTAACGATGACTTGAGGCTGTTAAAGGTGACTTGATGCTGTTAAAGTTGCTTGATGCTGTTAACGGTGCTTGATGCTGTTAAAGGTGACTGATGCTGTTAAAGGTGATTTGATAGCTGCGTACAAGGTGACTTGTCGGCCTGTAAAGGTGACTTTGATCCAGCTGCTTAAAGGCCTGCTTGATGCTGTTAAATGCGTGACCTTTGCTGGCTGTTAAAGGTACCTTGATGCTGTTAAAGGGATGAATTGATTCTGTTAAAGGTCGACTTGGGCTGTTAAGGTGCTTTGATTGCTGTAAAAATAGGCTTGACTTGGGCTCGTTAAACAGTGCCTTGATGCTGATTAAGGTGACTTTTT